GTCTCGGTTATCAGGGTTCAGTTTCAAGGAAGCTACACACTGAAGAACCCTGACAGGTTTAGCAACGCAAAGGCAAGCAGCCAGAGCGGTATTTCTAACAGATTTTCTGGAGAGAGTGTACATTAGGTTCTTGTTACTGTCAAAGAGAGACCTTGACATTCCAAATCTTTTCCTGTTAATCTCAGAGGCTCTGTGGAGGTTTATGGGGTTGAAAGCAGCAATCTTGACTTTGCAGCCTATCTTGAGGGCTTTTATTTTGCCTGAGAATTTAAACAAACTAAGGTCCATTTGAGGGGTCCTCAGATGGAGTTTCTTCATGCTTTATATAGTCTTGTTATTTAGGATCATCACAGTGAATGTCACTCCCACGAGACTTCTGTTTGAGTCAGCAGCAAATTTGGTTTGTTAACTATCTCAACAAATGATGTGTTCTAGAATGTAAGGTAGGAACTTCCTCAGCTGTCTGTCATAGCTCTCAACTGCTCTTGCTTTTCAGAACATTCAAGTAACGGTCAGTAGTTTCCTGTTCTGTGTTTCCAAATGGGGCTTTTCTCCCTGTTTCCCTGTGAGATCCACAGCTTGAAATGAAAGCTCTAGTGACTGGGGAAGTGTTTAACAATGTGATAAGAAACGCTTTCGAGGCTGGGAAGAGACTTTATATTTGAAACAGTTTTTGCTTCTCAGAACTGTTTATTGCACGAGTGGCTTGTGAAAGGGTTAGTTGAGTGCCAGACAGTAACAGCTCCTTGCTTTGTAACTTCTGTTTTTTCATTTGCAGCAGGCATCCGAGTTTAATGTTTCGTTACCTTTCTGCGGCAAAATCTGCTTGTTTCCTTCCAAAGGAAAATGGGCACGTGTAGAGGTAAGAAATACTCGACGAACAGCTCCCGCTTTCCCCCAGAGAAATGGTCCTGATTTATGTTCAGCTAAATCTGAATCCTTAGTTTCCTTGAAACTGGTTATAGTGAATGTATCCCTGTTGTGGTTTTGACCTCAAAATTACGCTCTTGTTTCCTTCTTTCAGATAAGAATTATTCACACGAGACGGGCACTTGACGTGCAGTTCGTGGATACTGGAGCAGTTGCAGCTGTGAAAGTATCAGAGCTCAGAGAAATCCCACCGCAGTTCCTGAGAGAAGTGATTGCAATACCTCCTCAGGTATAAAGCCACGTTAAAGCCAACCTACGCGAGACTTCTTGGCAGATGTTTGCAGGGCTGCTGCTTCCAGGTGTATGTAATGAAATTGTGTTTTGTTTGGTGGCATTCAGCACTGGAGGGTGTTTCATTGCGCATGTTTGCCTGATGTAAATCACAGTGCAGTCCCGTGTATCCTGTGTACGTGTAATGGTGCTGGTTTTGCATGTTCCTCCGTCTGTTTCTCTTTCTGAGACATTTTGCATCTGTCAACATTAATGAAGTTTTGTGAACAGGAACTTGTGGACTAGTTTCCACATTACTAACCTATGCCTTGTATTCTTAATTCTGTTCTTAGGCAATAAAATGCTGCCTAGCAGATCTGCCTCCTAACACTGGCATGTGGACTCCAGATGCTGTACTGTGGCTGCGAGACACTGTAATGAATTGTCCTGAATTTAGCATGAAGGTAAATAGTCAAATTGCCTGTGTGACTTGAAATCCATAGGCGTGTGGAAGAGCAGTGAAGAACACCTCAAGAAGCTTAACCACACATCAAACTGATTTTTGTCATAGAAGTTTAAGGGTTTGCAGCCAGCTCTTGGACTTCAGTTCCGTACAAAGTCCTTTTCTTAGGGCATTTGGCATAAAACTTACTTGCTTAAGCCTGTTAGAAGCGCGTCTGTTCCCCTCAAGAACTTAGCAACTTTCACCTTAGCCTTTCACACTGTGCTGTCCCAGTCCAAATGTGCAGCTAGAGTTCTGTTACCGACTGACAGGAAAGAAACACAGGCGTTCATGTTTCACCACGTAAAAAGATACAGCTGCTGAGTTAATCTTAACTTATTTTTATGCCTCTTGTGAGCATAGATTTTTCTCCTTCTGGTCTTAGAAAGCAGCTTTATTTTTTGTTTGCTTTTCCTAATCCAGTGTGATTTAATATGTGCTGTTGTATGCTTAGAACTTCTCCTGTCTTTGAGATTAAATTATTTCTGCTTGCAATGTATCCTATCCAGTTTAATTAACTGAAAACACCCTTCTTGAGGAAACCTAGTACTAGCTACAGACTAAAAAAAGCTGATTTCCTCTTAAAAGTCTGATTCCACAGCACTTTGCAAAAGCATTCTGTAGCTTTCCATTACCTTTCTGTTTGCTTTAACCCTGGAGACTGTATAGGTTCAAACACAGCTGCTCTAGTCTGGGACTTACAGTGGTTGCACGTGGCTTTTCTAGGCATCCTCTGCCAAGGTAGTTTGAGTTTGGTGCTAGTTTTTGCTCAACTGAACAATAGATGACAGATGTGTGCTTTAATTGTAGAAAGTTTTTATACCTAGCTAGGAGGATCAACAGGAGAATCTGTACAGCAGTGTTCCATACTTTGTCAAATTAAAATGTCGGTATTTTACTACCAATAATGCTGGCATATCTGATGTTAAATAGGAAATATTTTATGCTGGTGCTTGAAAATTATGCATGGGACAAACCTGGAAGCTTTTTTCTACTCTGTTTTTTTCCCATCCTTAACTGAGTAGGCTTCATCTCCCATAATGACAGGATGACAGGGAGAGAATTTGGAAGGATTAAGTGTTAATATTTAATAGCATTACTTAGTTGTTTAGATCTGTATGAACACCAGCCACTGTTCTCCTGAAAATT